CAGGGTGGCGCATAAAAGTGTGAGTGGATCGGAATATATATTTTTTTAAATAGAACACCCTGTATATTATTGCATTTTTTGCTTCCTCTCTACATAATCCTAAGATATGAGTAAATATATTTCGGTAGTTTCAGAGATAAATAAATTAAAAATATATATTTTTCAGCCTTTCTTCAAAAAATTATTAAAAATACAAGAACTGTCCTGAAATCGAAACTATATTAGGTACTTTAGATGGTCCCTACTTAATTTAGCTATAAATACCGCAATTTTAAATCATAGAGGGTGTTCAACATTCAAAAACATGATGGGGAAAACCGCATATCAATATCTGTTACCGTTTCGGAGTTACGTCTTTTTCAAAAATGTGCATTTTTAACAAATCGCTGTAACTTTTTTGTTATGGAAAATTTTGTATTTCTATGAAAACATTTCCAAAGCACCTTTTTACGTAGAATTTAATAGTTTAAGTATAATTTTTAAAAAAAATAATTTAAGAATTATCAACAGAAAAAATGATTTTTTATTTGCGACACCCTGTATATTTTTAATTAACAGAAAAGAACTTAAAATTGCCTTTCCAAAAGTATAGCACACTTGATATTTTGTTATAATCCCCTTCGAAATACAGAGTTTTTAAAAGTTCGCCACTTTAACTAGTAGGCTTTGAACCTCTTATTGCAACTACTAATGGAACTCGAAAACATATTTTTCCAGCAAAACGAGGCACCGCCTCAGAACGCTGAAGTTAACAGCAAATTTTTGCAGCCAATTTCAAAATAACTGAATAGCTAGGTAACGAAGATCCCAGCCGTTGGCCGCCGAGGCCGCCGGACTTAGTGCCTATGGATCTAATCCTATATCCATATATGATATATCCATATTTGCCGAAGAATAAAGGTTCTTATTTTTTAAATTGCTCGTATAATCTAGACAAGAATTAGAAATACTTAGCAGTTATGAGAGGGTATCTTTCACCCCCACTTAGTGAATTCCGCAAGAAATGTACAAAAACGGCTCCATCTGTCCGTAACCGAAGATGGTCGATCTGTGAAACACCTTTAGCAAAATCTCATGTCTTGGTTTGCTATTTATTTTTATTGTTACTAAATATACCTAGTTTAAATGTGTTGTGATGTTGGTTAAATATAGTTTAAATTGTTATAAAATTTTGCATCCCTCATAGCAAATATTATTTTTGTTTTAATTGATGCTCACAGCTAGAATTTTTTTGCATTACGACGTTCAAAGCCTACTTATTTAAAGTGGGCGAATTGTTAACTCTATATCTCGAAGAGGTACCGAGCAAAATATCAAGTGTGCTATATTTTTGCTATAATTTTAAATTCTTTGCAATAAATTAAAAATATACAGGGTGCCCCATATAAAAAATCAAATTTTCTGTTGATAATTTTTAAATTACCTATTAATTTAAAAAAATATACTTAAGCCATTAAATTCCACGTAAAAAGGTGCTTTGGAAATGTTTTCATAAGAATACAAAATTTTCCATAGCAAAAAAGTTAAACGATTTGTTAAAAATGCATATTTTTGAAAAACACCCCGTAACTCCGAAACGGTAACAGATATCGATATGCGGTTTTCAGCATCATGTTTTTGATAAAAATTGAGCTCCAGACCCCGATATTAGTTTTCGTCTACAGAAAAGGGCGTTTCTCTTTAAAAGTGTCTAATTTGGCTCCACCCTTTACGTCATAAATTATCTATACTAATATATAAAATCCTTAAGCGACTGACTCACTGATTAATCACGCGCGCGCGCGCGATCCTGCTCAAACCACTTAACGACTCAACGTAAGAAGCTCAATTTTGGCATATAGGTTGATTCTAGGGTATAGAGGTTCGATAAGAAGGGATTTTTCGAAATTCCAGTTCCAAGGGGGTGAAACCACCCCTCAAATATTACAATATTTTTTATTTAAAAAACAGTCAAGTTTTCGAAAAAACGTTTAAACACGTATATTTTATTTTGTTTTTTTTACATATTTTAAGATGTTTTAAAAATGTATACAGGGTGTTTTGATAAATCTGGTCCTTGATTAATCACGATCCTGCTTAAAGCGCTTGACGTAAAAAACTGATTTTTGGAAAACGGATTGACTTTGGAGTGTAGAGTTTCGATAAGAAGGGATTTTTGGAAACTCGAATTCTAAGGGGGTGAAACCACCCCTCAAATATTAGAATATTTTTTATTTAAAAACCGGTGAGTTTTTCGGGAAAACTCTTAAACACGTATATTTTATTTAGTTGTTTTATATATTTTAAGATTTTTTAAAAATTTATACAGAGTGTTTCATAAAATATGACCATTGTGTAATCACGATTCTGCTTAAACTGCTTGACGTTTAAAGCTGATTTTTTGCAAACGGATTGAATGTGTGAATGTCCTGTGTTGAGGTTCGATACGGAGGGGTTTCTCGAATCTCAAATTCCAAGAGGGTGAAAACGCCCCTCAAATATTACAATATTTGTTATTTAAAAAACGATTACAGTTGAGGGTTGGAACCTTTGGTGTTATACAGCAAAATAAAAACACTAAATCACCACAATACACCAAAACACTTTTACTTTTACACTGGACGATAAACCCAGTTTATAATCATCTGCTGATGATGCTAACATGGTTAGCGAAACGCGCGTCCAGTGTAAAAGTAAAAGTGTTTTGGTGTATTGTGGTGATTTAGTGTTTTTATTTTGATTTAAAAAACGGTTAGTCTTTCGGGAAAACGCTTGGACACGCATAATTTATTTTGTTTTTTACATATTTTGAAAGTTTTTAAAAAATCATACAGGGTGTTCCAAAAAGTTGGGTAATTGATTAACCATGACTCTGCTTAAACTGCTTGACGTAAAAAGCTTATTTTTAGCAAACGGATTTTTCGAAAGTCAAATTCCAACGAGATGAAACTACCCCTCAAATATTACCAAGTTATATAAAAATATCGCCATATTGTTTTTTCTCATGCTGACATAAATGTGAGAAAATTTTATCCAGTTTGTATGTTAATGGAAATTCTTGCTTTGCTTTATCATTACCATTACAAATGATTAATTCAACGCGAACGAAGTCGCGGGTACACGCTATTGTATATAATTGTTTTTTAAAAACGTTGTATACCCATGTTATTTCATATAAAAAAAACAAAAAAGGACAATTTTGAAGCAGTTCTATTCCAAAGCGACCCTTTGCCGCTTTAAGTCTTTTATTTGCTCCCGTTTTACAGGTGAATATTGGCAAAGAGAGAGCGACAAACGTTCGTGCAAGCACACACACACAGAAGTGCTCTTAATTCGATTAGGCGATCGTTTATTTGCCGCGCACCGATGCACTTCATTTGCTGTCCAACCGATGCGAACCAACTAACCGGCGAGAGAGATCTCTTCAGCGATGTTCATTCCGCTTCCTGGTGCCAGCTATAAATACAGCTACGTGTGTGTGTTGGTGTTTACTCGGTTAGAAAAGCCCTGCGTTTCCAAAAGGCGTTTTATCTCAGCCGGTGCCTACCTTTCGGGTGTTAATCTGTGATTAATTTCGTTAAAAGTATCTCCGTAGGCTGCTGTTTTTATTTACGTTTCTGCTGATTGAGTATATTCATTTAATAAAAGAAAGAAACTGTTTTAATTTTCGGTAACAAAACTTTGTTACAAAAGAGTAAACTGGCAGACCTTGGACAGGTGATGCGTAATGATAAATATCAACTTATCCAACTATTCCCCATACCTTCCATTTTCATACATACATACAGCCATTACTCGCTGACGAGGATTCGACACACATCAAAAGATGGTCGCAAGGCGTTTTCTTTCATGAGCTTTTCTGTGACTGAAAAGCCCGATACGTGATGTTATCTGCCTACCGCACTCCGGACATTCAAAAATCTCATTGCTTTTTTGCCTCTTTACTTTTTGGTTGTCGCTGTTAAGCAGAGACTTTGGTATGCAGTTTTCTTGGATTCTGCATACGTGACCAGCCCATCTTAAGTGGGATTTTGTAACCATGACTTCAATACTACACTCGCAGTTAGCTTTTTCAAGGACCGATACGTTTGAGACATGATGGAACCACCGGATTCTTAAGAGTTGTCTAAGGTGTCTCTGTTGCAACTTGTTTAATGCGTTTCTGTGCGTTTATGTGTCGGCGGTACGGCACCCAGGTTTCACTCCCATATAACATGGTGGGGATTATAACTGCTCGGTACACTGAAGTTTCGTTTTTGTACACAAGTCATGATTGTAGAAAACCCTGTCTTTTAATTTCCAGAATGCTCTTGAGGCGCTGCTAATCCTGTGCTAAATTTCAGAGTCTATATTGGCCTTTTCTGAAATCCATTCCATTTCCATTCCATATCCGTTCCGTATTTTTGATTGTATTCACGCTATACGTATGCTTCCATTCCGTATCAGTTCCATACTTTTTATTGTACAATTTATATCATTACGAAAGTTTTATTTTAAAAATTTGTATCTTTTGAAAAAGGTAATAGATTTAATTAAGAGGTTAAATAATAAATAAATATCAGCATAATGTTAACATAGCTGGTACAAATGTAAGAACTTGACAACGCTGTTTCTGATACTCTTCAGTCCGTCCGCCAAAAAAATGTATGGAAAGAAAGGATATAGAACGGAAGGGAACCGGAACGGATAGTGTGCTTCATTTACATGATATAATATTTTATGTGAACGGAAGGGAAACGGAAAGGAGCTGATACGGAAGGTATATTGAGAATCAACCTTTATACTGCAGAGCAAAATAGATAGTAGAAGACAGGGGCGGGAATCTTAAATATGCTGATAGAACGAGCGACTTTAGCGCCATCTACAACCGTTATCCCAACTAGTTTCCATTAGTATATCTATTCGGCGGTAGATGTCACAAGCAGCGTATCATAAAGAAAACGACGCGATCGACCGTCATCGATCGACGCCATTACTTGAGTTTGTAAACAACAAAATCTTCAAAATTTCAACAAACTTTCTACTGGAAACAGTTAAAGAGTAGTTTTTACGTGTTTTGTGCTTGTGTTGTGCTTATTTTGTATAAGTATCTTTTTCTTAACAATATAATGAGTCCAACAAGTCGTATTCGTCCTTGTAGTGTTCCTGAGTGTAGCGATAAATTATCCAATAGGTAAGTTTTTAAAAACAATATCTATTAGGGTAGCAAAATTATTCAGCGCGATTACCCGATATTTACCTAATTAGTATAGAACCTTAATCAATTTTAGTCATCTTCTTATACTTGGCTAGTTTAAGTGTTTTGTTGTATAAATTGACATAAAATTATATTGTAAGATGTTTTTTATAACATATAAATAATATATGTTTGGACCTAGAATATTTAACTACAAACTATTTTTCTAAACTGTTTTATGTCTTATTTCATAATCTAAAAAAAGTTTATTTTTAGACACGCAATTCCATCTAATGTAAAGTTGAGAAATGTTTGGCTAAGCAGAATTCACAATAAGAAATTAACCGCGCTTTCTAAAGAGAAGACAAAGTTAACGATATATAAAGTTTGTAATGTTCATTTCGAGCCACAATGTTTCAGCAATAATAATCTTATTGAGAAATGCTTTGCCAACATTATATATTCCCGGATATGAAAGAGTGGAAGGAGATTGCTTCTATAGAGAACCTTCTGTAACAGGAAGAGAAACTCCACCAAGGTTTATAGGTTAGTTTTTGTTTGAAAAATAAATTCTAAATTGAAATTTAAGAAAGTGGTATTAAGTTATATCCAATATATTGACTATAATATTATTTCAGAAGCTCTTACTTCCACACCATGTTCTGTCTTATCTAGCCCTGTAGGACATGTAAAAATCCCCAGAAAACTTATGCCAAGAGAAAACTTTTTGTAAACCCAGGATGAAATAGAGGAACCACAGCCCAAGATGCTAAAATTTTGTACATAATACTGATGGATAATTTGCAAGGTAATTTGATTTATATATAAAATTTTTGTTGGTTTTAATGGTTTTATTGAGAAAACACAGTTATTTTTTTTGAAAGGCAGTTTTTAGAAATTTCAGAAATACACACTGATGATACAACCTGCAAGGTAATTTGATTTATATATAAATTTTATTGGTTTTAATGGTTTTATTGAAAACAATAGTTATTTTTTGAAAGGTGCTTTTAGACTTGAGCACGCACACACTGAGTGTTGGTTTTTGATTGGTGCTCAAAGAAATTTTATGTGTTTGCGAACGCTCAGTTTTCACCGGCAATTTGTTTTGTATGCGTGCGTGCGTGCCTTCACCAATTCGTCAAAAAATAAGTTTTTAATTTAAACGAGAGCCGAGAACGCAAACGAATACCGTTCGCATACGCACAGCTCATGCGTGCTCAAGTCTAAACGCACTTTAATGTAGCATTTTTACTATATCATATTTTCCTAATTTTTTACTATGTATTTTAGACGGGCCACAGGCTTTAATATCCAAATTTCAAACTAAGGAGGCAAGATATTGCTGATAGTTTTCAAGGTATTATTTTATTTACATATACTAATAATGATACATTTCAAAAATTATGTAAAATTTACTTGGTTATCTTGTTTTTTAATTTACAGCTTTATTTTCAAACATATTAGTTTTTAGTATCATAGTTATCTATAGCTATCTGGTTAAATATAATTTATAAAATAAAAAAACATATATAAAATATTTTGTTTCAGAAGAACCACAGCCTTCAACCTCGAAACAAAATAAAAGGATAACCAAGAGGCAAAATACTGGCACTGTTAATTTTCAAGGTGATTATATTTTAAAGATTATATTATGAAGACTTAATGATTAAGCAACAATTATATATTAAAAATATTTACGAAATTAAATTAAAAAATTCATTAAGCCGTCAACAGTCATAGTCTGATTCAATATTCTTGATCTGATTTTTTTTTACCCTACAGTATTTATTGATATTCTTTAATTATTGCTTTATAATATAATTTAGCTATTTTTATTGCCCATTTTGATAATTATTGTTTTTAATAATAATTAATAATAATTAAACCTTTTCATATATATTTTTAATCGAGTTTATATAAAAGTTTTATTATGATTGTCATAAAACGAAAGAAATGAAAATAAATACCATATGATGAAAAAAAAACGGCGTCCAGTTGGCTTTGAAATCGATGATGTTTCCCATATAATTTTTCATATACATAAAATGACAGCGGTCTTCATTTCTTAGCCATCGCTGACGCCGTTTTTTTTTCCGACTTATTGTATTTACAATATTTTAAAAAATATATAGGTGTTTTTTTATAAAGGATTTAGGGGAGGAGGGGTTATAAAATTGGTGTAGGACAAACATCTATATAAATATATCATCCTATTTTTTTTTCTTTTATAGAGTATCAATTTTCTAATTATTGTTTTTTGCACATTTTTTTAAAAATATTTATTTTTTTAAGAATCACATATGTCAAAAAATAAATATGGAAGGCCACTGAGTGAAAATGAAAAGGTTTTGTTGAGTAGGATATCCAGACTTCGCAAGGATCTAACAAAATCCAGAAAGATGACGACTCGTACGAAGCAGCGATTGATGAGAAAACAAATTAATATTTTTAAGGATGTCAACGAAACCACTATACAATTGTTCCTCAGCCAGGTAAGAAATCAAAAATTACATCCTAAAGGGAGACGTTTTACACTGGATGACAAAATATTTGCACTTTCACTGTTCAAACAAAGTGGTAAATCATACAGATTTATCTCAAAAATTCTTGCTCTACCTTCACGTAAGACTCTTTTTAAATTACTTAGACAAATTCCATTTAATTGTGGCATAAACTCTCACATTTTTATTCATTTAGAACAGACAGTTAAAAAACTAAATCAGTTAGATAAATACTGTGTCTTAATGTTTGATGAGATTTCATTATGTCCTGGTTTAGCTTACAATCCGTCCAAAGATTGTATTGATGGTTTGGTCGATTTTGGTGGTCCAGAGAGAAGAGCAATCTTTGCAGATCATGCTTTAGTTTTTATGCTAAAAGGTATTCGTAAAAAATGGAAACAGCCAATTTCTTTTTATTTTTCTGAGAGCGCTACTCCAACTGTCGATTTAGTTAGGATTATCAAGGATGTGGTAAGACATGTTCGTCAGACAGGTTTAAAAGTTATTGCAACTGTTTGTGACCAAGGAACAACCAATGTTGCAGCTATAAACTATCTGAAAAATGACACCAACGCTTATTGTGTTAGAAATGGTATTGAGAATAGATATAATGGATACCTTGTTGATGAATTGGAAGTAATTCATATCTATGATTGCCCTCATTTAATGAAGGGTGTTAGAAATGGATTACTTACAAAAAATTTAAATTTTGTTCAAAATGGCCAGCAGAAAGTTGCTTCTTGGTCCCATGTTATTAACATTTATCAAGCTGATTGTAGAAGGGGTATTTTTAGTGAATTTTCCAAATTAACAGATGAACATGTCATGCCAGATAAGATAAGAAAGATGAAGGTGAAAAATTGTACCCAAGTTTTTAGTAGGTCAGTGGCTCTAAATATGAGATTTAAGGCGGAAGTAAGTAAGGAGCTTTCTAAAGATTCGATTTTTTATTTAGATCCATCTGCCACAGATACGGCAGATCTCTTATTATTTTTTGATCAACTCTTCGATAGTGTTAATGGGAGTTCTTTAGTCAGTCCTGCAGGAAAAGAGCTTAGACGTGTAGTAACGATAAAGTCGAAACATCTCGAAACTTGGAAAAATGCTATTGTAATTTTAAAATCTATGTTTTATAGTTCTGGTCAGTCTCAAAAAATAATAACCCCATCTCTAAAAAATTGGCAACACACTATTAATAGTTTTATATATATTTGGCAAATTTTAAGAAATAATGGTTTCTCATATTTTTCTCCAAGGTCGTTTAATCAGGATCCAGTAGAGAATTTCTTTTCTTTAATTAGAAGTCATAATGTAACTAATGCTAATCCTACTTGTTCTGCGTTTATTTCTTCAGTCAAAACTCTGATAATTAATAATTTTATGTCGTCACATTCTTTAGGTTCAAATTGCGAAAATGATGAGTCATCAGGTCTACTTGATACTTTTAGAGAATTTATTCACATTAAACAGGGGCCTTTTAAACCACCAAACATTAAAACACCTGTATATCCTAATAAACATTTTACAAACAGAGAAACAGATATTGACTTAGCAACACCTTATGTCGCAGGTGTAGTAATAAAAAAATTGTATAAAAAACATAGTTGTGATGATTGTGCAAGTATTTTGCAATCCAAAGAAGATTTACCTGAAAATATTTTAATTAGGAAACGACAATATAGTAAAGGGTCTTTAATTAGTCCGTCGGCTACATTTATTAATAGTTTTAAATTAATCTCAGAAAATGTATATTCAATGATGCCGTCAATAATTAATAGTTATGGTATTAAGAAATCATTAAAATCAAATATCAATGAAACAAATTTCAATTCGTTATTTTGTAAAGATCATAGTGCTATGGTTTCCAAATTTGTGTCCATTTCTATTAATATATGTTTATTTCATTACATTAAAACAGTTAACAACATTTTAAGTGGTAAAGATATTAGATATAAAAATCTTGATATTTTAACAAATTTAGCATTTAGTAAATATGAAAAGAGAAGAAAAGGCAAGCACTAACTATTTTTGAATCATTAAAATTCTGTTCTAACAAAACTTTACTTAGTTTATTAAATCCATTTTGCTTTAGATATCAGTTTTAGATAAATTCTTTATATACATATTGATTTAATAAATACTATGGCCTTTTGAGTAATGTCATAATTCCTAATTATTATATTAAAAGTTATTTCTTTATTAAATTTGACGACGGGGGAGAGCCCCCGAACCGTCGATTTATTATTTGGCTAGGCAACTTTGTATTTAAAGAAAGAGCCACTGAGAAATTGGTCTCCGTGGATTTTTAACCCAGTGGCTCATTAAAATTATAAAATATTTTGATTTTTAAGATTTTGTTTTAGATCTGATATTCCACGACGATGGAAGCAATCAGCCAACACAACTTTATAGGCAAATTTATATATTGTAATTGTATATGATCAAAAAGTTTTATGATAAAGTGTGCTTTGCATGATGACAAGATAAAAATTCTTATGGGAAATTACATTATAGATTTTTTGAACTGTTAAACTAAATGCCTGCTTAGTCATAAAACTTTTTGGTTGTAGAGTATTTTATTTTTATTTTATTTATATCAGACACTGGCCCCACCTGCTTCCATCAACAACATTATCATTTGGCTGTTAGTGAACGAAGTACCTATCCAATATTCTTCTGATTGTACAATGTTGTGTATAATTTTCAATATTTTATTATATCTGTATGTTTATTCAAACTCCATTCATTATGTCAATATCTTCAATATGATTTACTTAATATTTATATATATTGTATGAATGTACTTGATTCTTGAATAGTTAACTTTTGTTAACAAACCAAGAAAATTATATAAATGTGCAAATAAATTAATAATCTATACATATTTGGTGTTGGAGTGAACTATTGCCATTTATTTGACAATATTAACTTATACATTATATGCAGTGATGGGCGTATATGCTTATTGGGTAAATACCCAACGGGTATATAAATAAAATTTGGATATAATCGTATACCTGTACATTTAGATGAACACCCTAGTTTTATAGGAGTTTCCGAGGACCGCCAATATACCAAAATATATCAGGAATTTATCTACAATATTCCTGAAATATACTGATATTACACTAGGTATTTACCATAGAGGTATTTACAATGCGGTCTTCGCGAACTCCTACATAAAATTGGTGT